AGATGGAATTAGATAATTAATGTATTCTTACGATCTTAAATCAGTGCATCATCATCATTATTTAGACGCTAAATGTATCCGTGAAGATTGTATCAGTCATCTATTGTATGACCTAAATACTTAAACAATTATGATAATCATCAAAATGATTGAATAAAATTTCCATTCATCTTTTGAATACAATAATTGTGTTCAAATTTTTATCAAATTTAGTATACTAATTTATTAGGATTTAGTGCGTGCATCTTAAAGTATGTTATTATTAAAATGAATAAAATTAGTTGCAAAATATCTTTCTTACAAAATCGAAGAACTTTTTCACTTTCTATTTTCTTTTTCTTTTTTTTGCAATTAAACAGTAAAATAAAATGAATGAGTGGTATTTTTTTTTTTGTCTTCTCTCTTTTTCGTTCTCTTTTTTTTTCCAAAATATTTGCAATCAATCAATAATAGAAAAATCAAGCTGAATGTTAATTGTTGCTACAATATAGAAAAAAAAAATGTTGGCTGAATTTTTGAAATTCCAAAGAATCGTAATTTTGATTCCATTTAAACCATAATTTCCCAGGATACATTGAGTTAAAGTAGGCAAAATTTGGTCAAATGGGCAAATTTTACTCCAAAAAATGGGAATTATTTTTGGGAAAGAGAGAGAGGGAGAAAAGGGCATTCGTCTACTCGAACAGAGTGGATGCTTTGAAATATGCATCATTGTATTTTAAAAAGTGGATTAAATTTTCTTTCATTGAATTTAGTTTTTGGTATTTATTTTGTTCAACTTCTTCCCTCTCCCCTTCCCTTTCACTTCAATTTTCTACTTTCATTTGGTATTTTAGGATTGAAAATGTAAGATTTAGAGCTGAAGTTAAAATGACCTATTTATTCTCATTTGTCAGATATTATTGAGTTCCTCTCATTGTTAATTTAACTTCATCTTGCATACAATATCGCTCGTCTTTTATTTCTTTAAATTTAATGATAAATTTCAAATATAACATTCAATATAAAATTAAATATAACAGCGTAAAATTTGGTACAAAATGAAATTAAATTAGTAATTAAATTAGTAATCCAATTAGTAATTTCTGATAAAAAAATAAGATTGTTATATCTTCATATGTGTATTGTTGATAAATTTTATCATTTAATAAAAATTAAAATTAGGACAAGAAAGTTTTCTAAAACACTTTACTGTTACAATAATAAATGTAGAAAACGTATAACAAAAAAAAAAACAATATGGCTTTTATTTTTTGCTATTAATTAATTACTAATTTGCAGTAATAAAAATAAATTAGGAATCTAAAATCATTTGAAATAACAAAACTATTCCATACACTTACTATTTATATCAATTTAAAAAAAAAAGAAAAAAGATATTTTTCCTACACTTAAAATATTTTTTTTTTCGTCACTTAAAATCTTATTTACATAATCATATATTTGCTGGTAGGATGATTGTTGATTTTTATTATCAGTAGTAATATTTATATTCTTAATTTGAAAATTTCATTTCTTAATATAAGATTCTGGTGATTCTTTTTTTTTTTGTTTTTTATATTTTAAATATTTAAAGGATCATTGATGAACGGTATGAGTTGTGAGGTTTATATTGTTATATAGGCCCTCCTATCAATGCAATTAAAAATAAATGAAGGTCAGAGAGTTGAAGAGAACGACATTTTGATAATAGCAAGGACGACCTTCAGAAGAAATATCTTCTTGTTGGTCCCTTCAGCAACATTATTTTCTTCTTCTTTTTTTTTTTTTTTTTTTTTTTTTTTTTTTTTTT